AAAAATTAATTATATAATAACAAATCATAATTATAAATTTAAACTGCAATATATCATTTTCAAAAAAGAAAAACTCAGCGGATTACCCATACATTGTTCCAATAAAGGTGTTAGAGATTTTGAGGGATTTAAGTTATCTATTATACAGACAATGCATAAGAACTTGGTAAATACGGTACACCCATTAACTAGAAAACTTCAATTTATGGTTAAAATCAAGTATTCAAGCCTTTATCATATCCAGCAGTTAACCACAGTAGTTAACCCTCTAATGTACAAAAAGATAAAACAAAAGAGACTCAATAGTCCTTTCTTTCACTTTTGGTTTTCCCTTCTCTCTTTGATTTCTTCCATAAAAGGTTTAATGACAACGTTTAGACAATAATACATTGTTCCTGATCTCACACTGATCCCACACATACAACACACAAGGTGAAAAAAAATCTTAATCCTGCTAGTTAATTTGGCCTTATCTCGATGCCTTGAATAATGACACCGCCCATCCAGCTGCCATCAAACCGAAAGATACGTATTTTCAATTCACCATCCTCGCCTCCTTTATTGGGCAATTCACCCAATTCCAACTCAAACCAATCATCTGCCCTCGCTCCACCACCTATGATTCCACCTTGGCGCTGCACATATACTGTTTGCTTTGAAACTTCAGTGTTACCGTGTCGAACAGTGGCTTCTATAGGTTCATCTGTAAATCCGTAAGATTCACGCCCCAGTTTGAACACAAGGTAAGCCTTATAATGTGTTTTTGCAGACAGCATGCGAGTTTTAATCCTCCCATGGATGTCAAACCAACAAACACTAAGAAGCTCTGCAACCTTCGGGAACCTGTTTGTAAGCATGAACTACAAATCTTATGAATTATGATCACATATCTATATATATATATATATAATGCTACCCTATGCATTAAATAGGGTATGCATTTATATATACATATATAATATATAATAATATATAATATACTTTTATTTATTATTTATTATATAATTATATAATACAAATAACAAATCAAAACTAATTAATTTCTCAATAGTAATAGAAGATAATTTAAATAAATAGTATCCTCAAACATTAGTTAGGCCCTTAAATTTGTCATTTAATTTTAATTATAAATAAATAAATTATGTAAATTAATAAATATATTTAATAATATGAGTTTAACCTTTTTATATTCTCATATTCTTTGTCTTCTACTTCTTATTTTTATATTCTCAATTATTTTATCATTATTAGTTTTCATTAACGAAATGAGGGAAAATGAATAGACACCTAAAATTTATAGAGTAAAAGTATAGGATTGTAATGCATAATATGATAACTGTTTGTGTGGTTATAATTTTTTCTAGCTTTTTTGTTTTCTTCTTCTTCATGTACAATTGAGAAGTTTCATTTTATCTTATAATGCATTGCTTAGACATTAAATATTTTTATTTTTATTTTAAAAGAGAAATATACATTTTATTATAAAAATAAAAGATTGTATTTAATACAAAATAATATTTCTCCATGCCCTTCCGTCTTCCTACCCACCTATATAAATACCCTCACTTTTCTTTACACCAATATATTATATTCTCTTCTTCATTTCTTCAATTTCTTTTTATTAATATGGTGAGTTCCAAAAATTAATTTTCTTTTTCTTTCCTATTTCATATTGTATCTAAATATAATATTATGTTTTTATTTTATGTCTTTTTTCATCTTAGTCTAAAATATGTATATTATTGTATAAATTATTTTCCTTATTAGTCTTATTTTTTTTATGAATTTTTTTTATAGAAGATATGATTATTTTTCTTTTTGAAAAAATTTTGTAATTTGATCTATTTGAAATTTATGTATTATTTTCTTTTTAGATTATTAATGGTTCAAATTTTCTTCTTTTTTTTTTTGGATATGTGGCGAAGGACAAAACTTTATTCATTGGATTAGAATTCATCAGAGCAATAATAGTATTGATTTATACATTGAACTAAACAATAAAAGTATGAATTTCATAAAAATCAAGTTATATGAAAATATTGCATTTTTTAAAGATATTATGTTTTTTATTTTATTCATATTATACTATTATTAACTTTTTGATCCTTTTAAATATAAATTCTATATCACATTCCTTCTAATTTATATATATCCAATATTATTGTCATATATATTTGGGAATATACATTCAATTGCACTGAAATCTCATTCAAATAACTTTCTTTTTGTAACTTTAATTTGAGCACTTATGTTAATATATTAAAATAGTTTGCAATACAAGTTAAAGGAATAAAATAGGAATGGACAAAAATGATAGGTAATTGGAAATGAGAGAAGGGACCAAAAAAATAACCATAAAACAAAATTTTGCAAGTTAAGCAATTATAAAGAAAAGAGATGGTAAAAACTAATAAAAGAGAGAGAGAGAGAGAGATAGAGAATTGCTAAATACTTTTTCTTATTTTATAATATTTCATGTCAATCATGCATATTAAGAATATATATGGTTTGATTTTTTATTAAAATAATAGTTGATATCTTTTCACCTCAATTTTAAAGAATTATGAATTTGATTAAATAAGTATTAAAAATAACTAAGGAAAATGAAAAAAAAAAAGTATAAGGTTAAAGAATATTTTTTTATTAAAATAATAGTTGATATTTTTTAACTTCAATTTTAAAGAATTATGAATTTGATTAAATAAGAATTAAAAATAACTAAGGAAAATGAAAAAAAAAATTATTTGATTATTAGACTAACAACTAATAAAACTTATATATTAAAAAAATCAAAAGGTAAAA